ACCAAACAAGTGAGCTATAAAATTTCTTGCTGGTTCAACTCTGCGATGGTTGGAAATTCTTTGATTTGTATTTCTGAGGGAAGAGCAGAGCCTGAAGGAGGGTGTGGAGGCTGGGATTGGAAAGCAGGGCTTGGTGCCTCCATGCCAGGTGTGTGTGCTGTTCCTCAGCTGTTATGTCAGAGCAGAGGGGTGCAGGGCAGGGGCTCAGGTGAGAACACAGGGCACCTCAGCACACACTGCCCCTCACAGTTCTGGTGCCTAAAGACTCCCGTGGCACAGGGCTGGGAGTTGGATTTGGGGCTCTGACTCCCTGTGGGAATGCTGCAGGGCTTTTGTGGGATGCCAGCTCCCCCAGTAACACCATTTTCCCTTTGATCACTGCAAGACTACCCCGGCTTGTCGGCGGCTGCCCCGCTGCAGGTGGGCTCTCCCGCGGCCAAGGCTGGCCCAGGAGCACAAGGTAGGAGCCACGGGGCTGAGCTGGCTCCTGCCAGCCAGAACTGCTCAGAGAATGCTTTAGTTCCTACCTCTGCATCTGTGTTTTCCATGCCTCTCTCCTCCTCCTGCCCAGCAGAGAGCTCAGGGCTCCTCTGTGCCCGGTTGAGCCTCGGGGTTTAGCCCTGTGCACGAAAGATGAGGATGGTGAGTGGCAGAAGGGATTGTTCACAGCTTGCTGCTGGTGTGAACGGAGAGGATCATGGAAATCCTGTCATCTCCCGAGGCTGGAGCCTGTTTGTAGAGCAGAATCTCCCTGTGAGCGGATAGGCCTGTGTCTTTTAGATCCTTTTAATGCATTTCCTTGCTCAGTCTCCTCCGTGACTGCCTGAGGTGCTCCAGGTGGGAGCCTTGGGAGGTTTCTCTCCGGCTGTTGAGGCTGAAGCTTCTCCTCCTCAGGGTTCCCACCACACACCCGCTTTGGTGGCTGCCCTTGGTGCTCAGCTCCTGTTTCCCACCCGAGTTTCCTGTAGCTCACTCCAGCTGTAGACTTTAGCATCCCTCCTGTGCAGATCATCCTGGGCCTGTCTGGCCTCACAGAGAGGCAAAGCTGCTTTTGCTGCAGTAACAAGGGCTAGAGCTACACCAAGGGGCCAGGAGTGCTGACAGCCGTGACAGTGCTCTGCACTTCTGGCTTCTCTCTGTGCCTGGGCAGTGCCAGGACCACGTGCCAACACTCAGCCATCCAGCACTACCCTGTTAGGAATATTTTTCCTGCCTCTCTTCACACTTATAGATGCTAACTTTGAGGAGATTTTGTCTCTCCTTCCTGCTTCAGCACATCCTCAGCTAGATACAGCTCCAGTGACCCAGCCTAGACACCTGCCTAGAGCTGCCAGTGTCCCTTTGCCACCCTGTTAAGCAAACCAGGGGGGTTCTGTTTTAAATCTGATGCTCTCTCTGATGCCACCTGTGACGACCCACCAAACACAGCAGCTCTTGGACAGAAGCTGAAGCCACCAGAGCCTCCTGAGAACATGCGAGGTAAGGCCAGGCCTGTCCCCCAGGCTGGCACAGGGCAGGTTTCTCCCTCAGTGGCACAGGCCAGGACACCCAGCTGTCCTCAGCACTACCCCCCATTGTACAATCTCCTACTCAGAGGGTCCAGCTCAGCTCAGCTCTGCTCCTCCAGCCCCTTTTTGGGATGTCTGGGGCCAAGGAAAGCCATGGAGAGCAGCAGGACCCCGGTACCACAGCTTCAGGGATGGTGTTGGAGCAGGAGCAGGTGCACCCTGACCATGGCTGAGCCCATGGGGAGCAGGGCCAACCTCCTGCCACCACTGTCACTGTGAGGATGTGGCTGAGACAGGAGCTGGCAGTGCCCACCCAGCGCCTCCCTGAGCACCACATCACTTGCAAGGGCATCAGCTCCACAAAAAATCCAATGGATCCAGAACCCACTTCCAAACACCCGTGGGACCTCAGTGCTGCTCAACTCAGCTCCTCGCTGGGCTCGACAAAGCACAAAACCTCCCAAGGCCTGGTGGCCTTCACCCCCAGTGCTGGGTCATTCTGTGTGGGTCTGGCTGGCAGCACAACCCCCAGGGAGCCCCATTCCAGCTGGGACAGCCCTTTTCCCTGAGGAAACATGGGCAACATGGCCCTGGGAGCCCCATTCCAGCTGGGACAGCCCTTTTCCCTGAGGAAACAGGGGAACATGGCCCTGAGAGCCCCATTCCAGCTGGGACAGCCCTTTGCCCTGAGGAAACACAGGAAACATGGCCCTGGGAGCCCCGTTCCATCTGGGACAGCCCTTTTCCCTGAGGAAACATGGGGAACATGGCCTTGTGAGCCCCATTCCAGCTGGGACAGCCCTTTTCCCTGAGGAAACATGGCCCTGGGAGCCCCATTCCAGCTAGGACAGCCCTTTTCCCTGAGGAAACATGGGGAACATGGCCCTGGGAGCCCCATTCCAGCTGGGACAGCCCTTTTCCCTGAGGAAACATGGGGAACATGGCCCTGGGAGCCCCATTCCAGCTGGGACAGCCGTTTTCCCTGAGGAAACATGGGGAACATGGCCCTGGGAGCCCCATTCCAGCTGGGACAGCCCTTTTCCCTGAGGAAACAGGGGAAACATGGCCTTGTGAGCCCCATTCCAGCTAGGACAGCCCTTTTCCCTGAAAAAACATGGGGAACATGGCCCTGTGAGCCCCATTCCAGCTGGGACAGCCCTTTTCCCTGAGGAAACATGGGAACATGGCCCTGGGAGCCCCATTCCAGCTGGAACACCCCTTTTCCCTGAGGAAACAGGGGAAACATGGCCCTGGGAGCCCCATTCCAGCTGGGACAGCCCTTTACCCTGAGGAAACAGGGGAAACATGGCCCTGGGAGCCCCATTCCAGCTGGGACAGCCGTTTACCCTGAGGAAACAGGGGAAACATGGCCCTGGGAGCCCCCTCCTCAGCACAGCTCTCAGACCTGTTCTGTCCTCTGGCGTAGCAGCTCCGAAGAGCAAAGCAGGGCGCACAGCACACTCTGCAGGCAAGAAGCACAAGAAAAAGACAGGTACGTGCTGCTGGGGAAGGGCCAGGCTGGAGCAGCACCAGCCCTGCAGGTCCCTGTAGCAACCCCTGCCAGATGCCACCTCCGTAATGTTCGTCCTCCTGGCGGATTTTTGGGTGCCAGCTGCGCTCTGTGTTTAGTAGGAAATGGTTTGTAAGTTGTAGATCTTTGTCCCAAACCAAGCACCCATAAAGGGGGCAGGTGTGAGTAGCAGCTCCCAGCGCTGCAGCAGCGTTGTGCATCGAGTTATTCGTGCATGGGGTGTTTCATGCATCCAGCTTTGAGGAGGGGAGGGGAAGAGGGGAAAGGTAGCAGCTACCAGGTGTCTGCTGCAGAAATAGAGGCCAGTGCTGCCAGCACGGTGCTCTTGGCTCGGCCTTCTCGTGGCAGGGGAGGACATGGGGTGGTGCTAAGCAGTGAGAAAAAGCCGTTCTCTGATTTTTCTCAAGCATCCTCAAAGGGCTCAAAACTCATCCGGCTCAAACCAAATGCTGGCCCAGTGGCTCCCATTGAAACATATAAAGGTAAGCAGAGGGAGGGAGGTGCTCCAGGGCTCCCTGACCTCGCTCAGGTGATGTGTTCCTGCAGACTCAGCCATGGAGAAGGTGGGGAGGGTCTGTCTGAGTCGTGGTTAGCTGTTGGCTGTGTGTAGCAGTGCTTCCCTAGTCTGAAACAACACCTGGGAATTGCAGCAGGCAATATTTGAGATGAAATTCTTCGGATATCACTTAGTGAAGCAGAAGTTACTTCACAGAGATCACAGGAGACTCTCAGCTCCTCCTCAGGCAGCTGTGAACCATGGGGAAACCTCTGCCCTGCTCCTTCTTCCCTGGTCATCACGCCATTGATCACATCTCCTCCTCCAGTTGCATGTGCATGCCAACTCACAGCCTGCCCTGCCATCCCTGTGCCATCCTTGAATGTTTAATGTTCTGTTTGGAACAAAGGCTCTGAAAGCTCAGACCTGGCTGAGACCATTCTGCTCACGTTATCCCCTGCCCTTGCTGGCTGGGAACCTCCTGACCAGGCCAGCTGGGCCACAAGTCACCTCCTTTTCTCCCGAGCTGCACATCTCATTATATAAACTCACGTATCTATAAACTCCCAGCAAGATCCAGCACCTGGATCTGACACTGCAAGGCTCTCACTATCCCAAGTCATGGTAGCAAAAAGCAAACACAAGAAGCACAAAATCCAATCCCCCTGACTACAAATTCACCCACAGTTTGTTTTCTAACATGTGCCCACAGTTGAGAAAGGTCAGCCCTGGGGACTGGAGCACTTGGCCAGGTGATGGTGGTATCTCCCACCCCACCAGCAGCCTTTGCAGGCTGTGCTGTGCCAGGCAAGCCCTGGTTCAAACCTGTCCACCAGCTGTTGAAGGATCCCACACAAGCCACACTGCCTTGCATAGGCTTATTTTAACATTTAACCTGAGAGCCAGCACCCTTCACAGCAGAAAGGTACAAAAGGAAAGGGCTGAGAAGGGATACAGAGGGGAGAAGGAGAGGCTGTGAGGTTTTACCTGGACATGCAGCAGCTCCATCTCCACTAGAGCACCCTCTGCCAGCCCCATCCCACAGGCCAGTCCCCTCTGTTCCCCATCGAGGCAGAGCCTTTGCCAGGGCTCCTCACAGGTCCTGCAGCCTCCCCAGAGCTAAACCCAGGCTCTGCTCATTAACATCTGACTTCCCTCCACTGCCTGCCCCCATAATTATGCAGTTTCTGAAAGAAATCATCCTGGGATTGCAAGGGTCTGGTTCCTGCCTGTCCACACCTCGAGATTATGGGACCCTGACCCTTCTCTGCTCTCTGAATGATGATTTCCAGCCCGATCTCCCCGTGCTGGTGGAGAACTGGGCACACTCCTCCTGGCCAGCACACCCCAGCCCTGCTCTGGCAGTGGCCATGGCATTCCCTCCGGCAGGACCCTCCCAGCACCAGGGAAGGCTCTCCATCCCCATGTCCCCATGTCCCCAGCTGTCCCCTGCTCTCCCCCACAGACTGCGAGTGCTACGGCCACTCCAACCGCTGCAGCTACATCGACTTCCTCAACGTGGTGACCTGCGTGAGCTGCAAGCACAACACGCGGGGCCAGCACTGCCAGCACTGCCGCCTGGGCTTCTACCGCAACAGCTCCGCAGAGCTGGACGACGAGAATGTCTGCATAGGTGAGCAGGGAGAGTGTCTGTGGGTGTCTGCATAGGTGAGCAGGGAGAGTGTCTGTGGGTGTCTGTGTAGGTGAGCAGGAAAAATGTCTGTGTAGGTGAGCAGGGAGAGTGTCTGCATGGGTGAGCAGGGAGAGGCTGTGGGTGTCTGCACAGGTGAGCAGGGAGAGGCTGTGGGTGTCTGCACAGGTGAGCACAGAGAATTTCTGTGTAGGTGAGCAGGGAGAGTGTCTGTGGGTGTCTGCACAGGTGAGCACAGAGAATTTCTGTGTAGGTGAGCAGGGAGAGTGTCTGTGGGTGTCTGCATAGGTGAGCAGGGAAAATGTCTGTATAGGTGAGCAGGGAAAATGTCTGTGGGTGTCTGCACAGGTGAGCACAGAGAATTTCTGTGTAGGTGAGCAGAAAGAGTGTCTGTGGGTGTCTGCACAGGTGAGCACAGAGAATTTGGGTGTAGGTGAGCAGGGAGAGTGTCTGTGGGTGTCTGCACAGGTGAGCACAGAGAATTTCTGTGTAGGTGAGCAGGGAGAGTGTCTGTGGGTGTCTGCATAGGTGAGCACAGAGAATTTCTGTGTAGGTGAGCAGGGAGAGGCTGTGGGTGTCTGCATAGGTGAGCAGGAAAAATGTCTGTGTAGGTGAGCAGGGAGAGTGTCTGTATAGGTGAGCAGGGAAAATGTCTGTGGGTGTCTGCACAGGTGACCAGAGTGTCTGCACAGGTGAGCATGGCCCCCGCAGGTTCTCACTCTGTGAGTGGGCCGCATTCAACCCCTCTCTGAGGGTGTGAGGCCCACCTGCATGCTCAGCAAGGATGGCAGCTGGTCTCTGCAGCCTGCCAAGGCATCTCTTCCCTGAAAACAAAACCTAAAAATTAGGATCACAGTTTGGGACAGAAGACTGTCTAGTTCCACCCCCTGCCATGGGCAGGGACACCTTCCACTGTCCCAGGCTGCTCCAAGCCCCATCCAACCTGGCCTTGGACTCTTCCAGGGATCCAGGGGCAGCCACAGCTGCTTGGGGCAAACCGTGCCAGGGCCTGCCCACCCTCACAGTAAAAAGTGTTTCTGACTGAATTCAGGTGCCTTGCTCCAAAGAGGGGTGGCCTTTGCACCCGTGTCTCTTTGCACTGTCGGGGCCTCTCGGGCCAAGGCGTCCTCCCAGCCCCTTGGTCTCTAAGCTCTCTTCCACAGCACACCTCCAGACCTCTCCAAAACCCCATCCCCTCCCTCAGGGACCTGCTTGAACAGAACCCCGGGCAGGACAGGCTCTGACCTCCCTGTCTTTGGGCAGAATGTAACTGCAACCAGATCGGCTCCATGCACGACCGCTGCAACGAGACCGGCTACTGTGAGTGCAGGGAAGGGGCCACGGGGCCCAAGTGCGACGACTGCCTGCCCAACTACTACTGGAGACAGGGCTGCTTCCGTGAGTACCCAGTGCTGCTGCAGGCAGGGCAGGGAGCTGGGAGATGGCTCCAAACAGGAGCAGATCTCCAGCACTGTGGGTTTGGGTGCCCCGTGGTGCTCAGGGTGCAGGGTGAGCAGGTTCCGGCCATTCCTACCAAATCTGGAATTACTTTATGTACTTTTTATATACTTTATATTTTATATTACTTTATGTACTTTATATATACTATGTATATAGTATATATCTCTCCCTGGAGAAAAGGAGACCTTATTGCTCTCTACAGCTTCCTGAGGGGAGGTTGCAGACAGGTGGGGTCGGTCTCTTCCACCGGGCAACACTGACAGAACAAGGGGACACAGCCTCAGCTACATCAGGGAAGGTTTAGGTTGGATATTAGGAAAAATTTTTTCACTGAAAGAATAATAAAATACTGGAATTGTCTTCCCAGGGAGGTGGTAGAATCACCATCTCTGGATGTGTTTAAAAAAAGACTGGACACAGCACTTGGTGCTATAGTCTGGTTGTGGTGTTAGGGCATGGGTTGGACTTGATGATCTTAGAGGCCTCTTCCAACCTCATTATTCTGTGATATATAATCTGAAATTACTTTATATGCTTTTTCTATACTTTATTACTTTACTTTATACTTTATATTACTTTATATACTTTATATTACTTTATATACTTTATATATACTATATATATAATCTGAAATTACCTTATACTTTATATTGCTTAAAATTACTTTATTACTTTATATATACTATATAGATTACTTTATCATTTCTTCCTCCCAAATCTGAATTTACTTTATACTTTACAATTACTTCGGCCACAGACTTTGCACTCCTCCACTGCATTCTGCTGGCCTTGCAGCTGCTCTAACGCTGGGAGGGCGGGAGGATGTAACCCCTAGGAGGTAAAATCGAATTCCTGCAGCATGCAGGGGGTTTAACAGCGCTCTGCCCTCTCCTGTCACCCCGCAGCCAATGTGTGCGATGACGAGCTCCTGCTGTGCCAGAACGGCGGCACCTGCTACCAGAACCAGCGCTGCATCTGCCCCGTGGGCTTCAAGGGCGTCCTGTGCCAGCAGTCCCGCTGCGAGGCGGACAAAAAGGACTGTGACCGTGCCCCCGCTGCCCGTGCCAGCCTGGCCACTGTGGCGCTGGGCGCGCTCGCCCTGCAGCTGCGAGGCTGGGCAGGCCTCTGAGGCCTCACAGGGACACCGAGGTGATGGGTGGCTGTCCCCACCGCCTCCTTCTTCGCCTTCCTTCACGCTGGGACTTGCACAACCACTTTGGGTCCGCTTTCCGAGCAGGGAGCCCGGCGCTGGCTCCTGCCCGCTGTCCCCGCGGTGACACGGGCACCGTCCGTCCTGCCCCGCTCCGGGCAAACAGTGCCGCGATCCGAGGGATGGTTTTTTTATTATTCCTTTATTTACTTTGGTATGGGCTGGGGCGGTGTTTTTATTTTCCCTCCTCTCAGCGCCCTGGTTCGGAGGAGCCCGTGGTGAGAAGCGCAGAGCCCCGGCCCAGGGCAGGCAGGGACAGCAGGGAGGGGACAGGGGACTCTGCTCCATCCCTGCTGCCCAGCCCCGCATCCCCCCACGGGCCTGGCCTGCCCACGCACATACTGTTGCCTACGACTGTAGTTGCTGCATTGATTTTTGTATTTTCATGGCTGGGTTTTGTTTTCTTGCACTTACAGAGAACACAGGGGCCGCGAGGCGTTTGGAACGTGAGGGGTGCAGTGTCTTATCCACACATGTCCGTATGGTGTACGGGTCAAATACTTCTTTTGGTAGAGACTTATTTTTGTTTGGAGTAAATGTTATAACAGAACCACGACCTAAAGGGACATTTTACCATGAGCATTTGATTCTGGTGTATCCTCCAGTAAAGCAACTATTAATGGCTGCTTGATCACCACGTTTTCCTTTTCGTGTGCACAGTTAATTACAGGTAAAGACTTATTTTTTGATTCATAATGTCCTCTTGTGTTTTCTGAGTCACTACCAAGGTGCATCACATGGTGAGGGAGAGGGGAGGGAGAGAGGTTGCCTCATCACTGAGAGCTGTTAATTATTTCTCCTAATTACTTTGCTGAGCCTAGGTTAGACTACTATCTGTAGACAATGAGCAAAGTCTGAGTGATATATTAAGCACTGGTCTTGTGTGAAAAGGCCATTTCCAAATGAGCCTGCAGCAGGAAAAGACTGGCTAGTGCAGGGATGCTTCTCCATTGGGATTTCAACCCCACTGCAGCCCCCTCCAGCTGGTGCCACGATGCACCTTTGCAGAAAATGTTATATTTTAAAGCAACCACAGCAATATAGAGCTCACAGGGATTATATTAACTCATTAAGGCTCATCAACATGCTCCTGTCTGAGGAGACGTTTACAGCCAAGCACATAAATGAAGGCAGAAGAAACCAGAGGCAAGAAAAGAAATAACTCAGTCAGATCAACGGGAATGTCATAAACACAGGAGCCCTAGTGTTGTCATATCCAAATACTTACCAAGCCAGGAGATGATTGAGTGCAGGTTTAGAAGATGGGGGACACCCCCAAGTCCAGCTTGTTCAGTTCTAGTCTGGTTTCTTTGACAGGTGAGCAGCCTTGGTCCCAGTCCTAGTTCTGTGACGCTCCCAGAGCCAGCCCAGGAGCCCCACATAATCCAGGCTTCAGCCCCACTGGCATTTCCAGGTCTGGTGTCCTTGCCTGAGTGGAGCTCTTCTCTGAGAGCTTCTCTGTCAACATCTGCTCTGTTCCAGCACCTTCTCTCCATGGCCCTGTCCCTGCAGCCCATCCTGCTCAGGGATGCCAGGAGCAGCCCGGGTTTCTAAATGCATGAACCCACAGCATCCTCCAGCCCAAACTCTGGATATTGAGCACTCAGCCAGTGCCACCAAAACCCAGCCCCACCAAAACCCAGCCCCTCCACGGAGAGGGGACAGTGGATCTGTGCTTTGCAAACAAGGGAAAACCACGAGTGAAGGTGCAGGTGAATATTGTCACTCCAAAGAGCAACACCCATTGTGAGCAGGATTTAACATCAGAGGCAGAGCACAGGACTTAGTTAAGCCACCAGAAAGTAAAAGGGGGTGCAGCTCACCCTGATTTGATCCTTGAGGCAGCGGGCTGGCCCCAGCATTGCCTCTCTGGCTTCAGCACAATTGGTTGCTCTCTGTTAGACACTCACTCTTTTCTTTGTGCTTTCTGACTGCAGCAGACCTTAAATATCTTACTGTTCTTACAGGCAATAGCAAAGACTGTAACAAGATCAAGATCTCTAATGGCACTTCTGGAGGGTGAAACAACATTCTCCTTTGCCTGCACTACTGTTTTTCTCTAGAATATTAGATTAAGCAACAGAGAATTTACTACTTCATAAAGCCAGCCAAACTCTGTGCCCAGCAGATTCCCTGGAAATACACACTTTTATTGCAGGAACGTGCCAAGCACAGCACCAAATTCCTGTAGAAAATAAGCTCAGAAGGGCACAACAAAGCTCAGACCAGTCCAGGAATGAAGGCTGTTGAAAACTACACTTGACCTTTCTATGTTTGGGGCTTTACTCTTGGTTGGTTGGGTATTGGCTGTTTGGCTTTGGGGTTTTAGAGTCACACGTGCTGTAGAACTTGGAATCACAAAATGCAAACCCCTGCAAGGCAGAAAAGAAAATCTCTCACACAAAACTTACACTTAGTATTCAAGAAAACAATTTAAAGCTTCTGAAAGCTTCAGCACTGGAGACCCAGTAACTGCAGATATCTGTTAGCACAAAGAGAACAGAGCATTATTGAAACACAGAGAAACCACCACTGCAAATACCCACAGATCCCAAAGTTCATCTTTAAGGCAGAAGTTTTGTATATCAGTTATTGCTTCCAAATGGGAGAAGCTGTCCAATGAGCTTGATACTTTACTTGTGGAAAGGTTACCCAAAATGTACTTCTCCTTCTGAGAAAAGCCACTTATGCTCTTTCAAGAGGTTCCATGTGCATCCTGTCACTGGCATTTGATTAGTTTGGAAAAGTTTTTAAATTACACTTCTCTCTTCAAAAAGTGACCTCTCAAACAGCACAAGTAGAGCTTTTGATTTTTCTTGTTTACCTCAAATTCTACTCTGATTTTAACTATTCAGAGTTCTGACAAATCTAAACAACCAAAAGCCCCAAGGCAAGAAAAACCTTCCCAATGCACATTTGCTCACTTGCCAGATAAAATGTTTAAGATACAGTTCCTGGGAGCTGGAGACAGGAGGGGGGAAAGAATTCCACTGGCAGTTCCCAGGTATGTTATTTGTTTTTTTAAAGATGAGGCAACAGACATCTCATCTGCAAGTGATGTGTGAGGAGCCCTGCAGAGGCTGGAGGAGTGAGAGAACCAACACTTTTTAATGGGAATAAAATGGTCTCACTGCCCTGCTCTGCTCTGTAATTTGCTTTCATGAGAAGCCTCAAATGTAAATAAAGTATAAAGGAAGAGCTGAATGTTCTTGCTCAGAAATAAGAGCAGAGCTGGGTTTTGGAGAGCTTTATATCCACATCTTCTCAGCCCTTCTGGCTGGGAGCTGGAGAGTTTGGCCACAGACACACAGAAAATGGCTAAAAATCACATCCTGATTTGAGATGCAGGGGAAAGCTTCAGACCCTCCTGAAGGCTCCTTTGGCATTTTGATTCTCGAGGTGTTCTAACAAGTTCCACTGCAGGGTGAAATGTGTGAGAAAAGCCTAAACCCACCCATTTCCACCACATAACTGCCAGCAACAATACCAAGCTCCAAAAGCTCCATCCTGACCACACTGTGTCACTCCAGGAGTTAAAATAGAGGGGAAATTAATGGGGTTTCTCTGTAGCAAAGGGAGCTCTTGCTTCATGCCACAGTGAAATCAGTGGCAATGCTGCACAAGGCTATAAAATCAGGTTTTCTATGTTTTCCCAATACCAGATGTAATGTGCTCTCAGACCACCTTCATTTCTGTCATGCTTTTCCTGGGAGTTGGTGGCAAATTAGCCAAGGGCTGAGCAGCAGACAGGTACATATGGCCAGGAGGTCTCATGTCAGTGATATTCTGTGTACAAGGCTGCTTAGCTTACATTTATTTGCACAAAAGAATAAGGCACTGGGCTCCTTTCCAAGCAGCTTAAAAAGACAAGAAAGGAGACCCGTTGTGGCAAGAGACTGTATTATGTCATTAACATTATAAATTCCATTTACAATCCAGCAGTCATTTCATCCATCATTTATTCATGCACAATGGAGAGAACGTCTTGCAGTTTTAGGACCATGGCTGTGTTCATGCAGGGGGCTGCTGTGAATGAACAGCCCAGCTCCAGTTTTGGCTACTCTGCCTTCTCACCATGCTTCAGAGACTGCCAAAAAGCAAAAGCCAGCTCTGGAATTACTGCAGTTCCAGGTTATTTTCCAGGTGTTGTCTGGGAACGTTGTTTAGCCCCAGTTGATGCAGTCACAAGTTCTGTGTTGCTCTGGAAGCCCAGGCTGCTCCGTGCTTCCCCCATGAGTGTAGCAGAGGTGGGGGTTATTCCCATTCCGTGGATTACAGAAGTGCCTTGCCAGCCTGCAGCTCTGGCTCCCAGCTCCTGTGGCACCACTCATTAGCCCCAGCTGCTAATTAGTCCCAGCAGACAGCACTGTAAGGACTCTCAGCCCCAGCAGCCCTGGCAGTGTGAGTGGAGGTCACCAGGAAGGAGAGGCTGATGTCCCCACGGCCCCACAGCAGCCTGGCACAGCTCTGCTGAAAGCCAAGCACAACCCAGTGGCACCTCCAGCTCTCAGCACCCCTTGGGCCCACCAGCAAGGAGCCAACACCTCCCTCCTGCACTTCCCAGAGCAGATATTAAACTGATAAATAAACTGAGATAAAAGTGCTGTTTTCCCTCTGGTGCCCCACAGCCAGCCCAGAGCAGCTGGGAAAGCAGCACAGCACAGGGCACGGTGACCCAGAGCTAAGAACACAGACTAGACAAGCACCTGCCATGCTCTCACATCACCCTGAGTGGGAGCAATGACATGGAAAACAATTACAGCAAACCTTAAAGGAAAAAGGAATAATCAGTTATACCCCACCTTTACTGCAAAGCCTTTTTGTGTACAAAGAATAAATCAAAAAACCCTCAACACTCTGAAAACCCCTGAACATAGTCCAGCTCTTACAAAAGACTTTCCCTCCTTCCTAAGAACACAGAGGGGACTGGCTTTGCACTGAGAATTGGAAGCCTCTCTATAAAAACCTGGATTCTGCTTCTTCCAAAGGGTTTTGGCACAAACTCCAATAAAGTGTTTTACATAAAGTTGAATATGTTTCTTTACTGACTTTTCCAACTTTAACACTCAGTAACCACTGAAAAGCCTCTTCCAAGGGCCACCAGCTCTGAGGAGTTATAAATGACTACAGCAAGTCTCTACTCACAGATTACATACTGGGAACAGCAGGGAATTTATTAAAATTGTGCCTGATCTGTTTGTTCCTCATTGCAGATTTGAGTCAGTGATAAGTGTGCTTTGGATTGGATTTCGCTTGGTTTTCCACGTTACAGGTATAAACAAGAGGAGAAAAAGCTAAAGCTACAAACCTACTCAGTGGTTTGTGAAGAGGGAACAGTGTTCTAAGTGCAATAGCCCAAGCATTTTTTTATTGACAAATACAGGACTAATGATACAGACTGACTTGGCAGCAATAATCTACTGCTGAAGACTGACAACTTAAGTCAGATAATCTAGTATTAAACCAGCAAAAAGGTCTGAGCCACTGAACACACCTCAAAGATGACTTATAGAAAAACACAAGCATTACAGAATACAACATAAATGAAATGTTAAGACAAGTACTGCTCTCAGAACATGTTCTGAAATGCAGGCTAAGGAGTAAGAAAACTAGAAGAAAACTTTCACAAAGACATTCTTGTGACCAAATTGCATTTAATAACCAGAAGAGCATTTCCTCATTTGTTTTGTTGC